ATCACAGCTTTTATGTAGGAGAAAACTTCCACACTATTAGAGGGGGAAAGACAGCCTGTCAATATAACATTGGAAAAAATAAAACATGGGAAGAATTAGTGACAAGATCATTCAAAACATAAAAACCAAAATATTTTTAATAGTTACACAATGTAAACAGAGACATGCCAAATTAAGTGACAATAAAAACTGAAAGAAGAGAAAAATATATCAGGCAATAATAATAAAAGCAAGCATGTGAAACGATATTAATATTACACAAATTAGAAATCAATTCAGTTGAAATTAAGTCAAGAAAACAGTATTTCATAGAAGATACAATAAAACATGTACAAAAACATGTACAGGATAACACAAGTACAAAAACAAGTTGAGAATCACGGATCATTTTGTTAGTATTCTCCTAAATGAAGAAATAATGATAAACATGCAACACAAACAAACAGCTGAATGAATGTCATCACTGTTCTGAAAACGTGATGCCTGATGTTTGTGTAGGAAAGTGTAGCCATCCACCAACTTCCGGTTTAGTCAACTATTTAATAGCTTGTGACCAGTTTTAATTGTTGTTGTTAAGTGCCTTCAAGTCAGTTCTGACTCATTCCGACCCTGTATAGGGTTTCCAATGCTGTAAATCTTTGTGGGCTCGAACGAAAACCTTGTAGTTCAGAATTCAGTGCTTATCCTTCACAGCTACTGTACTCCCAGTTTTTTTGTTTTTTGTTTTGTTGTTGTTGTTGTTGTTAGGTGCCATCTAGTCAGTACCAAATCATAGCAACCATATGCACAACAGAACGAAACACTGCCTGTTGTTGTTAAGTACCGTGGCGTCGGTTCCGACTCCTGTGAAAATTCAAATGTTACTAAGCTTGAACCCATTGCTGCTGCCACTGTGCCAATCCATTTTTTTCACTGACATTCAACTTTACCAAGCATGATTTCCTTCTCCAGGGACTGGTCTCTCCTGGTGATATATCTGAAGTATGGCTGCTAAGAGCATTATACTTCTTCCAACACAGATTTGTTTGTTCTGGAAATCTATGACACTTTTAATATTCTTCTCCAACACCATAACTCAAACGCATCGATTCTTCAACCTTCACAATCATTTGAGGCTATTGAAAATATAATGGTTTAGGTCAGGCTTCTCCCAGCCCTCAAACTGACATCTTTGCTCTTCGACAGTTTAAAAGAGGTCTTGTGCAGATGATTTACTTAATGCAATACATCATTTGATTTCTTGATTGCTGCTTTCATGAGTTGATGATGGTTGTTGTTATGTGTGGTGGAGTTTGTTCCAACCCATAGCAACTCTGTTTAGGGTTTCCAAGAAGTGACTGGTGA